CCGAACGCACAAAGCAGCGCCCCCCGCCCGCAGCCGCCCACACACCTGGCGGGCGCGCCCCCAGTCGCCAGAGCCGCACACACGCAGCCGGACGTCAGCGACCAGTTGGAGGCGGGGGTCGGCGGCGGACTGCGCGCACCTGGCTCTCCTGACACCCCCGGGCCCTAGGCGACGCAGCCGCGGGGTCTGCGCCCTGGTCCTGGCGGTGCCCGCCCGGTCTCAGCTAGCGCATCTGCGGAATCGCTGGTGGGACGCGCGGATGAAGGGAGAAGGAGGGACGGGGTAGGGCACCGGAGGTTCTAGGGTGGACTCGAAGGGGGACGGCGGGTCCTGAGCGCCGCGCCAGCCATTGGGACGCTCGCATCACCACCGCCAGGAGAGTGCCCGAAGCGGTTCCTCGGGAACAAAGGCTGGGGCGGGGCTGGCGCACCCTAGGGACCCAGAGGAGAAAGGAGGGAACAGCTCACCTGCCCACAGAAGTTTCCGAAGGCCCCTGGGCTGTGGGGGCCGGAGATGCAGAAAGAGTGCACCCGGTGCGATCCCTCACCCCCATCCCATACCCAGCTGTGCTTGAGGTGGGACTGAAGGAAGACTCGCTACCACATCTTGGAAGTGGGAGACCTCAAGGAGTGCTAAACCCCTGAAAATCCTCCTGCCTTGCACCTGGCAGCCAGGAAATTTCATTTCTTCATTCCACAAACATACTGCGGCTTCTGCCAAGTTGAAGGGTGTTGCTAAACTCGAAGGGGTTAAAGGAAAGAAAGGTCCTCTAGGCAGCCTTTGGGATGCTTTAGTCTGTCCCTTTGGGACCTCCACAGAGAGCAACCTCTGAAGACGGCTGCACACCTCAGTGATAGGACACTCACTCCCTCAAGGGGCAGCCCCCTCCATCCTCAGGCAGCTCTAAATGCTAGAATGCCATTCCTTTAACTGTAAGGAAACCTGCCTTGCTTCTCTCTGCTGGCCTCACTCAGCTCTGGCCCCAGTGGCCTGCTTCTAGAACATACTGAAGGCCCTGTACTTGATATTCTCCCTGAAGAAGTACCTTCCTCCCATCACCTGTGCTGACTCAGCACCTTGAAAGGAGCTTCTCCATATGGCTATTCGCCTTCCACCTCTTCCAGAGTCCCTACACACCCCCTGGTCACTCTCAAGGCCCTGTTTGGTTAATTTCTTCAGCACCCTGAATTCTCTTGTCTTTGTGTCTATAGTCTCTCTCTCTCACAAGAACAGGTGTCCCATGGAAGCAGGACCCTATCTGCCTTGAGACAAGACACTGTAAGTCCAGAGCAGGGTGGAAAGAAGGAAGGCAGGAGTCTCCAGTCCATCATCCAAGTCCCTCAAACAGCCTGGTCCATCACCCTTGTGTGCAATCTATTCCAGGTTCAAGGGCATCATCTGTCACAGTGTCTGACAGAACAAAGTTGCCCAGTCCACTAGATAAATGAAGGAACATTCCTCATAGACTCTAAGACTCGGAACAACAGAATGTTCCATCCCTCCCACCATGGCTCTTCCAACCTTAAGATGCAAGCATTTTCTTAAAACCTGCAACATAGGCCCAAACCCAAGCTTCTAGTCAAATGGAACCCTCCACCAGTCTAATAGTATTCTTGCCCTGCTTCCAGGTGTAGACAGGATTGGAACACCAAATAGATTGCTCCTTTATCCCTGTTAAGTTGTATCTGCTGGACTTGGCCCTGGACACCAGCCTCCCAGGCATTTGGGGTTCCAATCCTGCCATCCTGCTGGTTGCGATGAGGACCAGGTTCCTGCCATCACCAGTGTCACCAGCATGCCATCCACATCACCCTCGCCAAGTCACCGATATACACACTGAGCAGCCAGGAGCCCCTCAGCGGCGCCTCCACCCAGCCCACATTCCTCTGTGGAGCCTGCAAGACTTCGATGGGCTGGTGTAGCAGTTGTCTTCTGCAACACCACCCTGACCATTTTCCAGTCTGGAAATTCACCAGTATAGCAAACCAGCAGGGTGGAGTTGCAGGGAGCGAGGCACTCAACTCCTGCTGATCATCTCCCTCTTCCTTTTCTAAGTGCCTGGGCCACCTCGTCAATAACACACTCAGAAACTGGACCAGGATGGAGGTTGAGTTCACTTATTTATGGTTTGTTAAATTGCATCCTGTCTGTAAGCTAGAAGTCACCTTCCCCATCTCCCTCTTTTGGACACAGGCCTCATTCTCTGAAAAGCAGTGTATGTAGAGACTGCAAACACTGCCCCTTTCTAGCTGTTGCGTACTCTCTGTGCCTCAGTTTTGCCATCTGAAAGATAGAGAACATTAGTGCCTAGATTGGAGACAGCATGCTTATGAAGATTAATTTCTGCCTAGCATTTCATGCCAAAGATGATACATAATAAGCACTCCAAAAAATAACCATTAATATTCTATCACAAAAGTTAGCAGAGTCACAAAGCTGTGGAAGCCTCACCTTTGAGCCCTGTGATGTAGCTGAAGTTATCTCAAAGGGTTCCACCCACTTATCATGGCATCCCTCCTCCACAAACTGGGTCCTGCTCCTGTGATCCTGAAATACATTCTTGTTCTTGGGCTCAAAAAAAGAGCAAGTCCTGTAGTGAGAACCGACATGAGCCCTCCTCTTCTTCCCTAGCTGTAACCTTGGACAGGGACAGTCGCCAGTCTTGGGGCTGACACTGAATCAGGCCACTCACCTTTGTGTCCTGACCCCCCCTTGGCTGACTAGTGCTCCCAGGACCTCACTCTCTTCCCTGAAAGCACTCTCTTTGTTGCTCCTTCCTGACACTCCTTCCTCCAGCTGTAGGGGAGTTTCTGTCATTTTTCTACTTTGAAGTTCTCCATCTGGAGTCCAGAGCCTTTGTCTGACCACATGGCTGAGTCTCCCCTTCCAGGATTCTGGCACTTCCACATCATCATTCAGTTCATTCTTCCTCACTGGGCAGACCTAGATCCACAGTACCTGTCTGCCTCACTATTTCCTGAACCTTCTGAAATCACCCATGAGACCACATGCTCTTAGCTAAATAGGATTCCTGGTACATGTCTGGCGGCTGAAGCTCTCACCACTTCCAAACTGTATTCCTAGTGCCAGTTTGGGGAACACACGGAGAGCATCATTCTTATTCTTTTGTGGACCAGTAATGGTGTACCCCACAAATGACCACTGTCTTCCTCTTTTACTCAGCCACCCTGAGAGAGGAAAACTATTCATTCTTGACTACAAGGGACCTAGTAATTTAGAAGTTGGTGCAATGATGGGTTTTGGGTTTTGTTGTTATTGGTTTCAGATTTTTTTTTTTTTAATGCACACAAGACCTGGGGTGAAGGCCAGAGGTGTGAGAAGTGAGAGGATTCACCAGATACAGAGTGGGGAGCAGAACAAGCAGATCTACTGAAATAAACTGCTGAGGGGAGCAGTACTGTGCCACATGTGTTACCAACCTGGCTGGGGATTGAACTCAGGCTGCAGTGGCTGGTGATTGCTCCACAGTGCTGTGTCTTTACCCCCTGCACCACCAGGGAGGCCCCCTGCAATAAAGTTTTGATGGGAATGTGGGGGGAAAAGGTCAGATCTAGCAGAAGCCTTGAGAAGGGTGCGCAGCAGCAGGGTGACCCAGGATAGCTCTGCAAGGCTGCTAACTGGCCACACTTGGGCACAGGGTGGAGGAAGGGTGGGTTGGAGACTGGGGAGAGGACTGAGCCAGAAAAAGCCCTGGTCTGGGTCCCAGCAGGTTTCTCTGGCACAGGGAAGGAGAAAAGAAGCAGGGTTCACCCCATCCAGGTAAAAGCTCAGCTGCTCAGCAAATTTGCCAGCCACTATCTCTCTCTTAAAGAAGATCGCCAAGTTCCTCAAGCTGCTAAACATGGAGCTTCCCTACGACCCAGCAATCCCACTCCTAGGTATCTACCCAAAAGACACAAAAACACTGATTGAAAAAGATACCTGTACCCCCATGTTTATTGCTGCTTTATTTACAATTGGAAAAACATGGAAGCAGCCCAAATGCCCAAAAGTAGATGACTGGATTAGAAAGATGTGGTACATATATACAATGGAATATTACTCAGCAACCAAAAAAGAGAAACACATGTCTTTTGCAGCTGGAAAAGATCATGCTTAGTGAGATAAGCCAGAAAGAGAAAGAAAAATACCGGATGGTTTCACTCATAGCAGGAGTATAATGGACCAGGCGAGAAAATAACAAGAATAATGAACAACCATTTACCAGAGACATTTTGTGGGGGTGGAGTGGGGAATGGGATCAAAAACGGGGTGGGGGGAGGGAAATGCACAGGATTATGGTGATGGCACATGGGTGCCTTGGTGATGGGAAACCCGTGGGGATTACAATTGAGATGGGAAAAAAATGTACAAAATTATGTAAAAATAAACTGTTATAAAATTAAAAAAAAAAGATCTCCAAGCATCACCACACTTGAGATTTGCTCCCTTGAAAAATAGCAGGGGGTGTCCTCCCTGTGGCACAACAGGTTAGAACTCAGCTAGCCGCAGCCACAGCCACAGCTGCAGCTACTTCAATGCGAGTTAGACCCCCAGGCCCCAAGCTGACCCACATGACGTTGCAGACCTCTCCTGACCCGCCCGCTGCTCCCCTCAGCAGTGTATCTCATCGACCTGCCTGTTCTGCTCCCCACTCTGTCTCTGGTGAATCCTCTCACTGCCTCCACACCTCTGGCCTGAACCCCAGTTCTGTATGCATAAATATTTTTAAAAAGGAAAAAGAAAAATAGCAGGGAATATATGATCGAACCCACTTTACAGAAGAGAAAGCAGTTTCCTCAAACCATTAAGTGCCTCCTCAGCTGGACAAGCACCCAGGAACGGAGGACACCTCTCACACACCAGGGCAGTGGTGCTCCCTGGGAACAGTGTGGACCCAGCACATATGCACCACTGCAGGGGTGGGAGTGGGGGAGTTTGTTCAGAAGGTACCTGGGCTCTGGAAGAATGACAGACAGTAAGAGCAGTGGGTGCCTTACCTGGAGGGAGACTCAAGGTCAGCACGGCTGAGGATGCGGTGCTGCTGTGGGCTGTAGAGCCACTGGAAGGCGGTCAGCGTCCTCTCCTCCACTCGGAACCGCCCTTCCTGCACGTACCTGTGGGCAGGACAGGAGAGAGTGAGGGGGAGTTGGCCTGCATTTAAAAAAAAAAAAAAAAAAGGTGGATGAAAGATACCTGTTCCCAAGTAACATCCCTGCCAGAAAACCGTGTTTCCAGAGCATCACAGCTAACTTCCCTGAAGGGGATGCAGCTATAGGGAGAAGGTTTCAACTCAATAGATGGAAAATTTTCTAAAAATTACTTGTCTGAAGCTGGAAGGAGTCAGGTGGAAGGGGTTGTCTGTCACTGGCAATGTGTAAGCAGAGAGTGGGAAAGGGGTTCAAACATCAGATGAGGGTCCATTCTCCAAGCCCCGCCAGGGCTGAGTACTAGACTGGACTTCACAGCCCAACAAGGAGTGTTCTGCAGTGGGGTTGGGAGTCAGATGTTAGGATTAAGGCTTCCTGAATGGTCCCTCACAGGATTCCAGTCACCCTCCAAAGAGTCAGTCTCCCTAAAGTAAGTGATCAGGGAAATTGGAGCTTCCCTGGTGAACACAAAGGACCCTTTCCATTCTCACCACTGTTCTGCTTAGAACCACAAACCCATTCATTAACTCGATATTCATTGAGTGCCCCCGTGGGGATTACAATTAAGATGAAAAAAAATGTGCAAAATGATGTAAAAATAAACTGTTTAATAAAAAAAAATATATATATATATAACATTAAAAAAAAATCACATGGCCCTCCCTGGTGGCGCAGCGGGTTAAAGCACAGCACTGAGAATCTAAAGCCGCTTCCGCATGAGTTCGATTCCCGCCTGCCCCGGAGGTGACCACATGGCGTGGCAGACCTCTCCTGACCCGCCCGCTGCTCCCCTCAGCAGTGTACTTCGTCGATCTGCCTGTTCTGCTCCCCACTCTGTCTCTGGTGAATCCTCTCACCCTCCGCATCTCTGGCCTGTACCCCAGTTCTGTATGAATAAATAAATAAATCTTTAAAAAAAAAAATCACATGCACGAAGACTGCATTCTAAACAGGACTCCTCAGACATTACCAGGGGGAGTGTCAACTGGCACAATCCCCTCTGCCAACAAACTGATGTCTGTTTAAATCCCTGCAGCCCAGGAATATAATGGAACAAGCGAGAAAATAATGATAATGATGAACAGCTATATACCAGAGACATTTTGTGGGGGTGGAGCGGGGAATGGGATCAAAAACAGTGGGGGGAGGGAAGTGCACTGGACTATGGTGATGGCACATGGGTGATTTGGTGATGGCAAACCCAAGGGGATTGCAACTGAGATGGAAAAAATGCACGAAATGATGTAAAAATAAACTATTATTTAAAAAAAAAAATCCCTGCAGCCCAGCCAGCCCTAGTCAGAAAGTTTATTTACACATCCTAGCATATGGCAAGGTTATCCATGACATTGTTTAAAATAGCAAAGACAGGGAACAACCCAAATAAATACCCATAAGTAGGGAACTGGTTAGACCCACATGGTGCATCCTTAAAGTAAAACAGTATGCAGCCATTTTTTTTTTTAATGCTGTAAATGAGGGTTTCCTGTGTGCCATCATGCAAAGATCTCCAAGACACACTGTTAAGAGAAAAAAGCAAGTGTAAGAAGAGCAGTATGTGTAATTTATGTTAAGGGGTGGTGGAGTATGAATTCATATTTGCTTATCTTTACTATAGAAACCCCAGAGACACAAAGCTAATCAAAGTAGTAACCTTATGAAGGGGAGGATGAACTGAATGAATGGAGGCATGCAGAGAAACTCGTTAACAATGTATCTTTTCATACAACAGGGGTGTTCTCTTCCAAATGTTTCATGTGAGCGTCTATGGAATTACAAGCTGCATAAAGTTCTATGACAAAAATGTGCAGCTGTCCTGATGTTGCAGGGAGGGAGGGAGGGACACCGACTATCTGCCAGGGAGGTGATTTCCAAGAAGGCAGGGCTGCTGGAGAGCAGAGCGCTCCTGTGGTCCCCATCCAGAGCACTGGCCCCCATTGCTTGGCTCTCCCAGGCTCGGTTTGACAGGCATTTTGGGAAGGTCACCTGACTGCTCTGTGGGGACAGCAGGGCAGTCAGATAAGAGGCTTAGAAAGGGGTGCAGGTGGGACAGAGTTGGCTAATCTAGGACGATGGAGAGAGCTAGGAGGCAGCACTGGCTGAACCTGGCGGTGGACTGGACTCGGAGGAGAGAGACTGACAGCCAAGTTTTTCCTGACTTCTGGGTAGTGCTGATAGCTGACTGCAGTGCCATGCACACTGCACGAGAAAGCTGTGGGAGGGAAGATCATGGCTCTGGCCATGATCTTGGCCTCTGTGATATGTTTCCTGCCCCAGGATGACTCCCCTCCTATAAAACCTGACTCAAAGCTTGGCTGGTCAATTCCATCTTATTCATTTTTGTTTGTTTGTTTGTTTGTTTTAAATTTATGCATATACAAGCTGGGGTGTAGGCCAGAAGTACAGGGGGTGAGAGGATTCACCAGAGACAGTGGGGAGCAGAACAGGTGGATCTACTGAAATCCACTGCTGAGGGCAGCAGTGGGTGAGATGAGAGAGCTCTGCTGCACCATGTGGGTCAGCTCCCTGGCTCTTTCCTACTCTGATGCCTTTCCCCGTCCCTGAGCTTCTTTTGTCATTCAGGGCTGAGTGACCTGTCATGGGAAAACCAGTCACTCCACCTCAGATCAGCAGCATCTAAGGACGCCAGTCGATCTCCCCATTGTCTTGTTCATATGTATTGGCCTGTACTCACGACCTATACATGACTATTATTCTCAGTGCACAGACACACATGTGACATTTGTCTCCAGACTTCTGGTGCCACTAGTCTCAGACAAGAAAGGTCACATGCACTAATCAGGACCTAAGAAAACTCCTGCTTCGACCAGAAGCCCCATCCACCAGCTTCAGCAACGGGCCCCCTGTGTGTAGGTAAGTTGCCCTTAATAAACCTTAAGTGTAATTAATTGACTTGCTTGCTTCATTCTTCAGACTAAAATTACCTCCTCAGCTTGAGAGAATTTACTTATTCCCACAACGATGCTCTCCCTCGCTCTTGCCATCTCTGTGCAAGAAGCTGCTAAGACCAGTTGCCTCCAAGGAGGGCAACGAAGTGACTGAGAAGCATTGTAACTGCTGTAATAATGCTTTGATATGATGTGAATTTACTGTTTTCAAAAAGCAAATCTTTTTTGGGGGGCCCTCCCTGGTGGTGCAACAAGTTAGGAAGCAGCCCTGCAAGCTAGCTGCAGCCTCCTCACTGTGAGTTCAATCCCCGCTGCCAAGGTGACCACAGGGCGTGGCAGACCTCTCCAGACCAGCCGGCTGCTCCCCTCAGCAGTGTACTTCTTCAGTCTGCCTGTTCTGCTCCCCACTCTGTCCCTGGTGAATTCTCTTACTGCCCCTGCACATCTGGCCTGTACCCCAGTTCTGTATGCATAAATAAATAAATCTTTAAAACAAAGTAAATATTATTATTTTTATTTAGGAACTCTGCTAATTATGAAGTCTTAGGTCTTTAGCCCCAAAAACAATGCTAAAGGGTTCTGAATCTAGTCTGAAGCTTTGTTTTACAGAGCAGGAGGCACAGAGCAGACAGCAGGCTTGCCCAAAGCCATAGTAACGTCCCCTTTGCCCCTGGTGAGAGCCCACAATAGGACATCCTCACCCTCATCAGCCAAGCCCCAGGTTGAGGGAGGAACAGGTGCCCTCAGGGCCATCCCCAGCCATCCTCTGCCGACCATCACTCACCCCTTCCATGAGTGGAATGTAAACGGCCCCCACTGCAAGCACCTGTCTCCTTCAGCCTCACCTCCCAGAGGCAGGCAGAAGGGACTGTCCTCCATGCTGCAGTCACCTTGACCTGGATTCGACTTACCAGTTGTAGGTGTGGGGTTTACAGATCCCTCCTCTACAATAATCGCCACCTTGAAAGACTGTTGGAAGGATTAAGAGATCCTTTAAAGGAGAGCTCTTACCCGTGGTCATCACTCTGCCTGTCCTCCCACCACTCTCACTGTCCTTCACTTCTCATTAATCTTACATACTTCACCCATGACAGACAAACCCACTTCCTGCATTCTCAGTTTCACCTCAAACGCCTTGCAACTGGCTGATGCCATTTTAGAGAGGAGGACGAGGGTAGTGACCATGCCTGAGGTCACACAGGCAGGACAGTGTGACCTTGTACCTTCAGAGCTGGCACCCAATTTCCTCCTGACCAGTCCCTTACACACACACACCCTCCTCGACACCAGCCCTCACTTCCCAACATAGATCTTGTCAGCTCCTCCCCTACCCAAAAAGGTTACTGTCTTCCCACTGCATGTCAAATATTACACAGACTGCTCACTTTAGACGTCTAATCCTTCCCTACTCTGTTCCCTTGCAGGTTTTCCCACCATTACACATGGCCACCCTCTCGCCGTTTATGTGTCCAGGCCCAGCATTCCGGATCTGTTTATTCTCCAAACCGCCCTGCCTTATCTGACCTCGGAGCCTTTGCTCAGTCTGTGCTCTGAGCTGAACTACCCTCTCTCCATCTCCACCCAAACCTTCCTGCCACCCTGCCACAACAGGGTCTCTAAGAATCTGTACCCCTAGGCCTCCGTAGTGGCTCAGGGGTTAAAGTGTCAGTATTTTCAAGTTATCATCAGCTACTGCAACATGAGTGTGAACACTGGCCAGGGAGCTGACCACAGGCGCAGCAGACCTCTCAGGTCTCACCTGCTGCTCCCCTCAGCAGTGTGCTTCAGTCAATCTGCCTGTTCTACTCCCTTCTCTGTTTCTGGTGAATCCACTCATCCCCCCCAAACCTCTAGCCTGCACCCCAGTTCTTGTATGCATAAATAAATAAAATAAATTATTAAAAAAAAAAAGACTCTGTACTCAACTCCCCAAGCCACAATCCAGGTCGACACCAATGTGCTGGGACTGCTTTGCTTAACCTTGCTCACAACATTGCTCCCTGCCCCACAATGCATGAGTTATTTATGTTCCAGTCTATCTCCCAGCTAGAGTGCAAA